CCCTGCCTCTGTCCTGGTCCAGACCCTCCTCACCCCACCCCCCCACCCCCTGCCTCCATCTCTCCCCTGGACCCCTGCAGTAGTCTCCTGGCTGATCTGTCTGCTTCTACTCTTGCTTCCTTATTTTTAGCACAGCAGTGACCTTTTAAAATTATAAATCAGACCGTCTCATTTTCCTGCTTAAAATTCTTCAGCAGCTTCCCATTCACTTAGAAAATCCAGACTCCTTCAGGTGACCCAGAATAAGGCTCCATGTGACCTCCCTCTTGCCTGTCCCTCCACACCAGCCCTCTTTCTGACCCTCTCTCCTGCCCAAGGACCCTTCCCCCCACCCTTCCTTTTTCATAGGTGCTGCCTGCCCTGGTCCACTCTCCTCAGGGAGGCCTGCCCACACCCCCTATCTGAAGCAGCACCCCCATCACCCTCTCCCACGGATCTTGTGCATTTTCCGTCCTACACTAGTATAATCACAATTATATATTCATGTGGGTTTTTATTGCTTTGTTATCTGTCTCCACTTCTAGACTTAAGAACCATTGTCTTGGTTGTGTTTTTTGTTTTGTTTTGTTTTGTTATTCATTTATTAATTTTTTTACCACAGTATACCCTGAGACTTTCAGGGAGCTTGAACATAGCACATGACCAACAAATATATATTGAGTGGACAAGGGATGGCTACAACCATAGATACATCAAATGTTTTTATTGCCTACAAAAGTTTAAATTCCTCAGTTTGGCATTCAAAGCCTTCATTGATCTGCCTGCACCCTACCCGTGCAGCCCCAACTTTCACTCTACCCTGAGGTGGCCTGGGCTCATGGCCCTTCTCTGTCTCATTTATGGCCCAGGGTCATGTGTCCCCGCCGAACTTGCACGGATACCACCTCTCTTCCTCCCCATCGCTATTGGTCCTTGACCTTCAAATCTTTGTTGTACATCCACTTGCATGAAGCCTTTCACAATTTCCCCAGTAGGACCTCCTGCACATCCACAGAGTTTAGCGTTTGCATGTATGATCACAGTCCAAAGAGGAGAAACCATATGCACAGTGGTAAAAGACACTCAGGTTCACATGCTACCTCTATCACTTTCAAGCCACGGGACTCCAGGTGATTTATGCAAATCGTCCTTCTTACAGTTTCCTCTTCTGCAGAGTGTATGTAGGATTGTCCTTCGCCCTCACAGGGCTGTGGTGGGGATTGGCGAGAGTAACTACACTGTTCGGTGCTCAGGATAAGGAGTTGCTTTTGTGAAGGTAATAGTGCAGCCTGTTGGGTGACATAGTTGGGACATGCTAGTTTCCTCCTCTAGACTGTCAACTGTACTTGTCTGATTTCTCTGTCTCTAATCCCAATCCCTCTCACCGTGCCTCCCGGTATACAGATGGGAGGAGCCCAGTGAATGATTGAATGAACGAACGAACGAGTGAGTAAATGAATGAATGAATGAGTGAGAGTGAACAGCACATGTCCAAACCCTCCCTACCTGTTGAAAGATCCCAGGAAGTACTAGGGCTCCTGACACCCGCCCTTTTGTTCAGACAGCTCTGAGCAGAAGTGGCCAAATCAGTCTGGGTTTCGCCCCATCCCGGCCAAGCCCCCTTGCTTCTCTGATTCAGGGTCCTGATCCCGCCTGCTGTCTGTTCCTGCCCTCGCGGAGGCAGGAACAGGGCTCCAGCTAGTTACTGCCTTCTCCTTGCCTGCACCCTAAGTCCTTGCCCAAAGACAGCTGGCTTCCATTGAAAATGTTCAGTCTCTCCCCTCCCCTGCCCATGTCGTTTCTCGACTCACACAGGCCCCTGTAGCCTGGGGAGAGCCTCCCCCCCCCCCAGGTTTGAGAAATCCCTGACATGATCGGAGAGGGAAAAAGGGTGTCCCAGACAACTCCCACCTTTAAAACACGGTCTTTCAAGCAGAGCTCGTCTAAAACAATCGGCACCTGAGCGGAGTGGCGGGGGAGGGGGGGTACATTTTACTGGAGAAGCCTGACTCCTCCTTGCAGAGCTGGAGTATTGCTGACAAGGATTTCTTCGAGGGTGGCTTCGAGTCTGCCTGTCGCTGCCGGCCGGGGAGGACTGGCTCAGGCTTCCCTGGTCCCTGACTCCTGCACTTATCTCATCAGCACCCACACACCACCGCAGCACGAGCCCATGAGGCAGGCTTGGCTCATTGGCCCATTATTGACATTTCACAGGTGCGGGACCAGGCTCCGAGATGGAGCGGCCTCCGCGAGACTGCGCTGGTGCTCGCCTGCTACCTCACACACCTCCCCCCGACGGGGCCTTTAAAACAGTAGCTCTTCTCTCGTGCCTTCCGTGGGTCTGAATTTGGGGAGGGCCCTGCCGAGTGGTCCTGGCTGGGAGCCTTTGATGCTGTGGCTGGAGCGGGAAGAGCAGCGGGAAGAGTAGCGTGGCTGGCGAGAGTCTCTCTTTCCTCACGTCTCCACCTAGTGTCGGGGCCTCCCCCTGCAGCCCCTCCGCGGGCTCGCCTGCGCCTCCTCCCGGCATGGCGGCCTCAGGGCAGCCAGGCTGCGTGCGTGGAGGTGCAGGACCCCAGCTGGAGTATTCTAGCAAGTGAAGGGCAAGTGACAACTCCTTCGCTGACATCGCCTCGCAAGTCCCACAGTGTCACTCCGACCACCTTCTGCCATTCTTGTAGTTACAAGTGAGTCACAAGCCCACCCAGATTTAGAGAGGAGATACGGACCACACCTCTCCATAGGATGGTCAAGGTCATGTCATAGAATAACATGGGAGACATTGTTGCAGACATTTTTGGAACTTCCAGCATGCGGTACACAAAATGTGGCCGGGCCAGGATTTGGATTCAATACATCTGATTCCAAAACTTCTGCTATGCCTTTTTAGCCAGTCCGTAGGGACCTGTCCTTACCCCTGCGGCCCGTCCCTCGTACTGTCCGCACGCACAGGGGCGGTGCGGTCTCCCTCAGCCGACTGGAGCCTGACTGGGTGAAAGCAGCAGACCAGGGCCTGCTGGTCAGAGAGGCCATGCCCAAGCCAGCCTGTGAACTTCTTAAAGAGGAGGACAGAGAAGGTCGGTCACATCCGGAAGAAGAAAGCAGGTGGCAGCCCCAGAGCACAGTGAGCCTGCGGCACATCTCACTGTCATAAACAACTTGTCTGGTGTTTTTCCTTCTCCCACCAGGCCCTGGCCTGGGATGACTCAGCCCTTGACAGAAAAGGTGCCTTCGCATTGAGAAACATTCACTGGTCTGGAGTCAGACATTCCTGAATCGGAGTCCTGGTTCTACCACCGCCTGTTAGGCAGCCTGGGATAAGTTCCTTAACCTCCCTGGACAAAAGGGAGATTAAAATGCCTTCCTTCCTGGACTGTTTAAAATTTTTATGTAAGGAAAGTACCGGTGCCATGCCAGGAACATAGTAGGTGCTCCATAAATGCTCATTTTCCTGTCCTGGGCCATGTCCAACCACAGCTTGAGGGCTGTCTTGAAGACAGTGGTGAAAACTCCTTTGACCATTCTGCAAACTCGAGTCCAGCTCCGTGACCCTGGAAGGAGCGGTGGCTGAGACCTCTCCCGTGATGTGACAATGAAACTGAGGTGTCCTGGGACGGAGAAGACGTCAACCCTGTAAGGCACCAGGAGGGAGGAAGCATGGCCTGGGAAGATGAGAGGGTGTGGGTGAAGGCCTGGAGGCAAAAGAAGTTCAGTTGCTGGAGCATGAAGGCCAAGGGCGGTGCAAAGGGGGAGGCCACAAGCACAAAACTAAGAAAATAAGCAGGGCCCCAGCAGTGAAGGACCTTGTAAATCAAGTTCCAAAACTTGAACTTTAAAGGCAACTGGGAGCCACTTGGGAGTTTTCCTCTGTTGGATGCAGTGGTTAGCTCTGCATTCTATAGCATCCCCTTCGACTACATTGTAGGAAATGGAGTCGAGGCAAGAAAACCTGTGGCAGGGAGGCCCATTCGGACAGGATGACAGTAATCCAGGGGAAAGATGATGCTGGCCTTTTCTCGGGGGACAGCAGGGGACTGGAGAGAGGTGGACAAACTCAAGAATGAGGAGGTTCCATGACAGTGACAGTTTGGATGTTCAGAGCTGAGGGATATGAGAGAAGAGATAAGTGCTTTAAATGGAGTCAATTTAGAAGTCATGGAAGTGTGGGGCTGGAGCACCGATCACAGCCCTGGGGAGAGGAGTATCATGGAAGGCTTTGCTAAAGGGGTATCACCTAACTGGAAAATTGATGAGCAAAAATTAGCCAAGGGAGGTGGGGAGGTACTTCAGGCAGAGGAAATAGCTCATGTGAAGGCTCAGAGATGTCAGCTATAATGCACAGAGCAGGTACTCTGTGTTGTTGAATAGATGATTGGTCTGCCAATTCATACTAAAGTGTTAATGGTTGATATAGAACTGGCCCTTTCTCCTTCCCTGAAGAGTTGGTACTTTAACAGGTCATGAATCCTTGCCCTAAGGATTCATGATCGGTAGATTTCAAGGTGGAACAGGGACACTGTTTACGGTGAGAGGGTTTTACCTTTGCCCCCTCCCTCATCCGAGGTTACTAAAGTCGATGACTGATCCTTAAGGGTCAAACAGACCCTGGTCTACACACAACAAAGGGTCTCTTGCCCTTGGGTCTTGCTTATCTGCCTCCACCCTGAGCTACCTGAAGCCAGATCGTGGAAGCCCAGTGATTCCCCAAGGGCCGCAGTATATTCTAGAAGCTGTGAACATAGCTTTGAGGTAAGAATACCTAGACCCATATCCGGGTTCCTCTCCTTCCTAGTCCTGTGACCCTGGGAAAATTATTTAGCTTCTCTGTACCTTTTCCTCATCTGTAAAATGAGGAAAATAATAGTATCTAAAATTCTGTGAAAATCAAAAAGGACAGGACCTACGAAAAGTTTAGAAGGGTGAGTGGTGTCACTGCCTCTGTTACTGCTGTCATTATTACTAGTCCTCTTTTCGCTCTGTCACCGTCTCCTTCCAAAGTTGCTCCTTGACGCACATGCTTGCAGATATGAAGCTGGGAAGGAACGTGGCGAGAACGTTTTTGGATTATTATCGGCTGAACCCCCTGGTCGAGAAAGTGGCAATTCCCATGCCGAGGCTGCGGTAAGTGACAGGGCAGAACTGTATGGCTGGGGTCCTACTGAACTGGCTTTGTGTTCAAGGGCAGCTTCCCTCGGCTTCTCTCTGGCCCTCAGTTTCACGTCTGTGGCGGGGGGAAGATAATCCCTGCCCTGCCCCCCAGCATATGGGGCAGAAGAGCTCAACAACATGTTTTCTGACTATAAAGTATCATCACAGCATCAGACAGTGTGGGGGTGGTCACATTTCTGGGTCTCCCATAGGAGTCCACGGGGATGGGAGATGCTGAGGGACTGAGTGCCGTCCAGGTTAGTCTGGGTGTCTCCATACACTACTTCATCTGGTAGCTCATCCTCTAGGATTCCTACTTCATCTAGGCTCATAAGGTCTCTGATCCCTCCATTTTCTCATCTGTCCAGTGGGGACAATGGCACTCACCTAGAAAGTTATTATGAGATGCGTGTTAAAGCACCCTGCACGTTTTTAGGCCTACATGTATCCCTTTAAGGCGTGAGAGTCCCCTTCCCTCAAGACGTGAAGGTTCAGGGCTGGGGAGGACACAGCCCTAAGAAATTTCACATCAGGTCTTCGGCCGGAGTCAGCTTTTTGGGCCACTGAAGAGAGAAGGTCAGGGGATGAGTATCCTTTCGGAGGGCAAGACCACAGACCAAAGTGCTGGGCATTCCCATGCCTCCTGGAAGTAAGCCTGGTGAGCATTTGGACAGTGATATCCAATGGCATCTGGAATGGGCTGGCCCTGCCCTACATCTTGGCCTCATTTCCTACTCTCTAGTGATCCAGCCTCCGTAAAGGACGTAATGATGTCCAGCTTCCTTTTTCTGCCGCACCATTCTTCCCACTGACCTTGCCCATGACCTTGCCCATGTGCTTTGCTACCCCAGGGCCTTTGCACTAACGTACCTTCCTCCATACCCCGTAATTAACAAAAACACTATTAATCACTGTTATTTATTGAGCAAAGTACTTTTTGTACGTGATCTTATTTATTCCTCATAGATATTATACTCCCCATATTACAAATGAGGTAAAGGAAGCTCAGGAATGTGAAGAGAATTGCCTGTCAAAGAGATTTTGGCAGAGGTAGGATTTGATCCTAAGACTGTTTTATTCCAAAGCTAGACTGAAGTCCAGCTAAGCTCCACCTTAAGCAGGAAGCCTTTCTCACTATCAGTGTGGGTTCAAATTCTGTCTCAGGCTCATGTTAACTGTGGCATCTTGGGCAAGTTTCGTGGCCTCTTGAAACCTTTCTTTCCCTGCCTATAAAGTGGGTGTAATAACTAAAATCTCTAGAGATTTTAAAGATTGGATAAAAGTTTGGTATAGTGCCTGGCAGTCAGTAGGTGCTCAATAACATTTCCATCTCCTTTGGTTTCTGGGTTGCAATCCCAGATTTCCAACCAGCTCATTGTGGCCTGGGGCAAGTCCCTGGACTTCTCCGGTTGGGCTGAATGATCTCTCAGGGCCATGTTCCACCATGCTGTGAGGGCCACATCTCCACAGAGTCTACAAAACAATGTATTCTGACTCATACTCTGTCTCAGATTGTTCACCAATCATGTGGGGTCTTTGTGCCCACCCTTCATTCCCGGTGGATTAAAAACACCTTCAAGGAGGATCATGTTTGTTACTCCTCTGTGCTCCCCAAGTGCCTAGACTGTACTGAGCATGCATACGTGTCTTCCTTCCTTTCTTCCTCCCTTCCTGCCTCCCTTCTTCCTTCCTTCCTTCCTTCCTTCCTTCCTTCCTTCCTTCCTTCCTCCCTCCACTTAGGAAAACCAGCACTTTAAGCCAGTCCCCTGGGGCGAGGGAGGTGCTCCTGCTTAGTGAGTAGGGCATTACCCTGCCTTTGAGGAGCTCACCTCTAGAGGAAAGTGCTCAGTTCAGTCTTAGAAGTCATTCTTGATTGGTTAAAGTTCTTAAAAATTTAAAGCTCTATAACGTTCAAAAGAATTCTTAGAATTTCATTTACAAGTTAATTTGGGGATTGTCTCTCAGGTCCTCTGTCAACTTGAATAAAATGATCTTGATCCTTTAGACTTTTTCCTGGCTTGTTGCACTATCAGTGAAATGGTGCCAACACTCAGAGAGACCAGCAATGGCGCAGGCCCCTCTTCCCGACACAGATGAGGAAGTCGAGGCCCAGGGAGCACACAGCACTGGCCACGGCCAGGACTAGAGCCCAAGCCCCACAATCCCCAGCCTGCTTTTCTCCACATGAGTTAGCAGAGTTCCTCCAGATGGACAGGAGGCAGGAAACTGAAACCAGGTGGGAGGCTGCAGGGAGCTCTCAGGGCCCCCAGTGCAACTGTTCATGGGGCTTCATTGCTCAAAACTTTGGAGGCCTCTTTAGAAAAGAGCTGGAGAGCTCCTTCCTCAAAGTGCACGGCCTTGAGGACTTGAGGTAAATGCACCCACCCTTAAATTAAGAAAAACCAAACAAACTCCCTCTCCATGCCCACACCTCTGTCTCAGCCAACTATGAATATCACTTAGCTCTCAGTTGTCAGCAACTCTTGAAAAATGAATTCCCAGGAGGACGCAAGGCTCTGATTTAGGACTTGAATATGTCCCCTTTGTTTGTATTATTTTCCACCCAAGCATCAAATAATAAAAGTGAAAGAGTAGTTCTGGTTTTAAAGGAAAATTACATGTTTTGGCTCAAAATTAATCTTTGTTTTCTCTCATCTTTGTGGATAATTATAATCTGTCAGTTTCCACTCAGGTGCTGGTGGGAGCCTGTTGGGGGCCAGGCTGCCCTTCAGAGAGGGTCCCTGGGGAGGGCCAGGAGGACCAGCAATGTGGGCCCAAGAGCATAGGTTCAGGGATGTGGAGTTGATGACCAAAGCCGAGACCCCTCACTTACCTGGATCACAGTGACGCCACAGGGCTAAAGTTCAAAAGATCCCATCAAGGTAGATGAAAATTAGGAAAAATGAACAGGCAAGGTGAGCCTTTATGCAAAGATAGAGCATGAGCATGGAAGGTGGGCTGGTCTCTGAGTGTGAAGTGGGCTCAGGCTCAGCGACAGGCTGGGAGGGCGGGCTCCACGGTAGGGTTGTGATGTGTGTGTTGGAGGATGGGAATGATCATCTCCTCAACACACTGGAGCCCACCATGTGCCAGGCCATGCACTGGGTGCTGGGGGACATAGCCCCTGCCCATCAGGAGCCCAGGACACAGAGGAGAAAGGCATGTACACATGCAAAGATGATAAACAATACCAAACAACGTATGAACGTGCTCAGCTACATATCAGATTATACTCTCTCTCAAAAACCTTCCATGGCTCCCCATTACCTTCAGGGTAATGTTCCAGTTCCTTTTCCTGGTATTCAAAGCTCTGACCTACATCTTGAACTTCATTTCGCAGCACACCTCTTCCCCTGTGAGCACCCTCTCCACCCCATCTGCTTTCTACCACTTTACACTTTATGCTTCAGACTAAACAAGTCAACTATTTTCATGCCTCTATGTCTTTGTTCATCCTTTTTTTCTCTCCCTGGAATGTTCTCCTATTTTGTCTCTAGGTGGTGAATTCCTACATACTTTTCAAAGCTGGGTCTAAACATCTCACACCTCTCTGCTTCACTCTCTCTGTTCTCCACCTGAGATAGAGCTACTTCCTCTCTGCCCGATTCCTAACTGCATTTTGCACACACCTGTAGCATTGTATGTCCCATAGAGTGTTGTCATGGCATCTTTGCACATCTGGCTTCTCCACTAGACAGGGTTCCTCCTTAAGGAGCTATCTTGGGTCACTCCTGGATCTTTAGTGCACAATGCACAGCCTAGCAGGGAGTATATCCTAAAAAAGTCCTGAATGTATGAATTATGGAATGGTAGAAATGAAGAAGCCCCTAAGAATTCTTGACTTCCACCCTTTCATATTTTAGAAAAGAAAAGTGAGACCCAACCAGAAATTCCCCTCCCACACCACCTGGCCAGCATTTGGCAGCCAGCAGGGGTATCCCAAGAAGGCTTCAGGGAGGAAGCGGCATTTGAACTTGGTTTTAAAGGACAGGCAGAACTTAGATGGATGAAACAGAAAAAGGAGAGAAGGTATCCCATGTTGGGGGTAAGGTGGAAGGCAGGAGGCAGGGCCTGAAAAGACAGTCCGAGGCAATGACAAGACTAGGATGTCTGGAGCAATGGGGACAGTAAGGACAAGACCAAAAGTTCATTTCTATTCCTCAGTCGCTCCTCAAGCACCTACGCCAGGCCTGAGCTTTGCTTGGGAATTACAGAGAAAAATCAGATGTGTTACACTCACATTCTCGTGAGAAAAACAGACAAAGAGCTACCTAGAAAATGGTTTACTGAGGGCAAGGTACAAAGTACTGTGGAGATCTTGAGAAGGGAGAAGCTTATTTTCTGGGAAGTCTGCTTCCCAAGTGAGCCTGGAGAGGTGGGGGAAGGCATGGGAAGAGGAACACAGGCCCCAGATGTACAGGATATTTGCCTTCCAGTGCCTTCTCTCTCTTTGCCCTCATCTTGGTTACAGAGGCTCTTTGCCAATCAGTCTACACATTCACACGTGCCCCTGGCCACTGCACACCTTCTGCCATGGCCCCATCTAACTAGGACTGTCCCCACCCGTGCTTGTACCTGAACTTGCCCCTCTAGGGGAAGTACGCCTTCCTTTACTCCCATGAAACCATAGCCATCTGATTTCCCACGCTCCCTTTGGGTGTTAAGAACCCACCCCTTGACATATGAATAGCATCCTGTAATTTGCAAAGCTCACCCCCAACCCCCACTTAGCAGAGCTGACGAGGCAGGAAGGACATAGGCTCTTGTGTGCTCTAGGCTGTCTGTGGGTACCGAGGTCTAGATGTATGTCACCCATGCTAGACAGCCTTGCCATGTTAGCCAGGTCCCTCAGCGATGGTGACATTTCGGGCAGTGAGGCCTACTGGTGGGGGAGATAGGTTAGGGCAAGGCGTCCCGTTTGTGTGCCGCCACCTGTTACATTTTTACCTTATTCATGACTCATCAACAGTGAAGGAAAATGGGTACTCCAAGGTCAGAGCACAATGGGCTACAAGAAGTTGCTTCTTCAGTCCTAATTCAAAAAGTACAAGAGAGATTCCATATTTATGGTGTTTGCCACTTTCTATAGTGCTTTGTAATTCTTCATTATTTTGTGTAGTCATTTTGTGCAACTGTCTCCTCTACTAAACTGTAAGCAGCCTGAGGACAGCATCAATGTCTGACTCATCTTTGTCATGTCCAGAGACCATGGAACCCTCTAGCACCACGCCTTTGTAAGTTACAGCAGGAAAGGGAAGACATTAAGTGCATTTACTCATGTTATTTCATTTAACCTCACAACACCCCTGTAAGATTGGAATATTTTATCCCCATTTTACAAATAAAGCCCAGAAAAGTTAACTAACTTTCCCAAGATCACACCCCTCCTACATAGCCAACCTGGGAATTCAGGTGAGTTCTTTCTGGCTCTAAAGCCTACTCTTTCCACCGCAAATGAATCTTAGTCAATCACGTGAATGAATGGCACATCAACTTATCAGTCAACAACATAACAAACAAGGCCCTGTATGAGGGAAAATGCAAAAATGGATAAAACCTGGTCCCTGTCCACAAGGAGCTCATAGTCTAGTGTGTGAGCCAAACAGACAGAAGGCAATTACTGAAGAATAGTGTTAAGGGCATGGCATTGGGTGCTGGGTGCTGGGACTCAGAGATGAGCCAGACATACCTCTGCCTTCCAAGATCACCCAAGCTCGTGGCGGAGACAGACCCACTATGAAATGCCATACTTAGGCTACTCTGAGGAATGTAAGGGCGACTCTGGAGCCCAGGATGGTTATGAAGAGGATGGGGTCCCAGGCTCACCCAGGATATAGGTCTTCTATGTGTCCACCCCCATCCCATTGTGAATTGGAGAGGATGGGTGAGAATCAAGATGGACGCGTGGAACATTTGGAGCTGTAGTCTTCTCCAGAACCAGAATGATACAGAGTATCCATCCATCCATCTAGCAGGCATTCATTGAGCCATGATGCCTGCTTTGAACCAGGCCCCCGGCTGGGTTCCTGGGACACAGAGAAAAGGAAGACAAGACCACTGCTCCTGGGCTGTCGTAGTCCAGTGGGGGAGAGAGACATGCACAGAAATGATTTCAATCCGGTGTGTATATGTGCTGTCTTTCTTCTCTCTTTCTGTTATCTCCCCTTTACAGGAAAGAAAAGCCCCCTCCCTACAAGCACCCACTCCTGCGGGGCCCAGCCAGGAACCACCCCAACGGCAAAGGGGACAAGAAGAGCTCCGTGAACCACAAAGACCCTTCAAACTCTTTTTAAGGACATGGAGTCCAGGAGGTCTTGTGGAGGCAGGAGCATGCATTTTCTGCTGGGGCATGAAATTAATCACCCTTCTCTAGTTTCCAAGTTAAAGGGTGTGGAATAATGAATAAGCTAGCGAAGGGGAAGGAAAAATGAGAAACCTCACTGTCAATTTTCCCTTTCACCAATGGAAAATCAATTGTGGGACTTCAGCTTAAGGCTCAGGAACAAAATAGGAGGCTCAAACCCAGTGAGTACAGATGCTATTTTCCCCAGCACAGAGATCCTCACAGCAAGAGGAAAAGCTACACGTCCCTTTTGAGAGGTTTGACACATCTCAGGTCAGTGCTTCTGAAGCCCCGTTACCTTTTAAAGTTGTATACCTACCACAGGTGGTTACCTTCTAGACCAGGTGAAGCCCCGTTACCTTTTAACGTTGTATACCTACCACAGGTGGTTACCGTCTAGACCAGGTGATGGTTGTTCACGGTTTTAGAAAGGCCCCGTCCATACCTCCTGATCCGAAACACCATCAGTGACACCTACAACCCAAAGACAAATATGCCGTTGGGAACTGTAGGACAGAGTTGTTGAAATCACAGGGGTCCGAGGCATTTTGTCGTGGTGTCTCTGAGCTGCGTGCATTCCCCAGTGACCTGGGTGCTTGAACTGAAACCGTATTGGTCACTCATTCCAAGAGGTCCGTCATGGTTCAGATCTCCAGATCCTGGTGCCAGGGACCAAACCTGGCCCCTGAAGAGGTGGGTATGGATACTCTGCAATAGGGGAAGGATGACTGCCAGGTGAGGGAGATGCAGAAGACAGGAGAATGCCTCCCCCCGCCCCAGGCAGGGGGCTGATAAAATAAAACAGCCGCAGTGGGGCTAAATATTGTGCATTTTTCTAAAGAGTAAAGTGCCTTTGTATGATGAATGGGTCCAGAGGAGTCTGCTCCCTTCCTTTCCGTGAAGCGGGCAGGCTGAGTCACCATGACAGCCTGCTAATTAAAATGACCTCCCGGAAATGAGGATTCGGAGATCGGGAGAGGAAGGCAGGCTCAGGGGAGATAGGGGCCTTTAGCAGAAAGCTCCAGTTAAGCATTCTTTTGCGTTGGGATGGGGGATTTTTGTAGTTTGTTGCAAAAACTGAGAGCAAAGCTTGTTCTCCCTTTGCTTATTGGTTTTCAGAAATGATAACAAAGAACCATATGTTAGTTGGCTACAAATGTTGTGTTGTATATATAGCTTCTCCTCTGGGTTCTTTTTGCCCAGAGGAACACAAATAAAGTGGTTTATGCATCTCTTCTGTTCCTCTGAACGTTCTTGGCACCCTTCCCTTTAGGTCTTCCACTTCCACAGGAACCAACCAGCCAACCCAAATTTGGTTTGACTTGCACTTCACTGTCAGGGACTCTGCCATCAGGGATAAGGAAGAACAGTCAAGACTTGACTTGCCCGCAGTTCCTGTGTCAGAGTCCTGGGGAGCTGAGCTGAGTGCAACGTGAGCCAAGAGCATGGCAGGTCTTTCAGAAATGATAGCATCTCTTGAGACAGCATGAACAGAGGTGGACTGCATACATCAGGCACGGTGACAGTCCAGGTCTATTTTCCCTGATCAGACCATTCCCATAATGTTGGGCCCCACTTTGTAAAAACTGCATTGATTGATTGGATCACAGTCTCACAAGCCCCAGGTATGCGAGCGGTTTGAAACCAAGAACTTGGAGCCAGGTACCTCTGGCTTCTAACTCTGCATTCGGACCCTGGTTCTGTCTTTTAATATCTGTGTGATCTTGGGCAAGTTATTTAACCTGTCTGAATCTCAGTTCCCTCCCCTGTAAGGTGGTGATAGTGATACCTGCCTCATTACAGTTGTTATGTAGGTCTGGGAAATGTCAGCAAGGGTGCTCAGGAAGAGTGAGCTGTGTTATTTGGGATGTGACCAACATGGTGAAGTGTCTGCAAATCATTTCCCATTGGAAATGGGTGAGGAGATGAGCTGTTTATGAAAAATAAGAGGGAGTGGGGGTAGGAAAGTGAGATCACAATCTCTAAAAAAGTGGGAAGGACATCTTGGACATTCTTTTTGTCCAAAAGAAGAAAACCTGTTCTGTGTTGCCAAAGGTAAGAACCAAAGCCAATGGTGTAGTTTCAATAAGATGGATTTCAGCTCAAAAAATGAGAAAAACTTTCTGGTGAATAGAGTTGCCAGCCATCGGATGGGCTTCCTGGGGAGAGAGTGAGCTCCCCATCACCAGATGTATGCAAATATTCAGAATGAACATCTGTCATGGGGGAAATGGAAGGGGTTCCTTCTCTAGGGGGATGCTGGATGCTCTGTGGCATCACCTACTGGTCTGTAACTCTGGAGAGGAATGGCATGAGGCAGGTGGTTACATTCCTGATGTCAAAGAATGGAATTTACAGTATAAAAAGTATCATTGAATGCTAAACAAATGACATTAAATGTCTCTGAATTACAGCATACGGACCCTGCTAACATTTAGAATTCCTTAAGAAGGAAAAATGCATAGCTATAAGGCAGACTGTAGGGTGTGTTGGCAATAGGACCACCTGCTTCTTTCAACTGGCGGAGCAGAGAGGAAAGGGCTCCCCAAGAGACCAGGGGTTGCCAGTGGACCTCCCTGGGACCTTGGCCTGCTCAGCAACTCCCCAGCTTTCTTGGACCAGGTTCTACCTGTGGTCTCCAGTTAGAGAGGAAGGTTTTCAGCAAGGAGATGGAAGACGGCAGCAATCTGGCAGTGAACCAGCCGGAAGCTACTAGCCCACCCAGCCCCAGGAGGGGGCGCTCCAGCCTCTTTTCTTCCCTGCCCACCTTCATGTCTGCATCGAGCCCCAAGTGGGTAGACTGGGCTACCAACCCAGTGCTCTGAGGGAAGTGAGATAACTCTGCCAAAAGGAAGAGTGGAGAGGGGAGAGACATGCTGGGCTTCTACCTGGCTCTCACACGTACCTCTGTAAACAGTGCCACTTTTCTCTCCACTAGTCCAGAAGCTCAGAGACAAGACTAAGGGTCTCTTTACCCTCAAAAGCTACGGTAGGCAAGCCAGAGGTCACCCAGATTCTTTGTGCAGAAGCCATAGCAGAGGGGTGCCTGGGTGGCTCAGTCGGTTGAGCATCTGACTCTTGATTTTGGCTCAGGTCATGATCTCAGGATTGTGAGATGGAGCCCCACACCGGGTTCTGCGCTGGGCGTGGAGCCTGCTTAAGTTTCTCTCTCTCCTTCTCCATCTGCAACCCTCCCCACCCCAACAACACACACACACCCAAAAATAGAAGCCCACAGCAGAGGCTGAGTCACCTGCCTCCTGATGACAGTGCCTGCAGCAGCAGGGGACCTTTAGCTGGGAGCTTTCCCCGTGGTTCAGTGACATACCTAAGACCTACCTAAGAGGATCCTGGCTTATTTTCCTAAGTAGTAAGAGCAGCGCCAACCATGAAGTCTGGAGTGATTAACATTTGTCGGGCCTCAATTCATTCATCTGCCAAGTACTCACTGGGCATTTGCTGTGTGCCAGGCATTATGCTAGATGCCTTTGCATCCACTGTCTTATTTGATATCCCCAATAGTCCCTTGAGGTATCATTTTCTATTTTGCTAAATAGAGGCTCCTAAAAGTAAAATCCTTTGTTTGCATTCATCTGGCTAGTGAGAATCTGGATTCAAACCCAGCTCCCTTTCCACTCCCCTACGCTGGGCACTCTCCATTGGTCTCTAGGGAAAATCAGGTCAAAACAGGAGAACAGGTGTAGGCAGAATAACATGTGACCAGTGGGATCACTTAGAGGTGATGGGGAATGGGGAGAGAGGCAGGGGACATGGAAGTTCCCAGGGTGGGTGTGTGAGTAAGGATTTCAGGACTTTTTAGCACCTGTAGCTGAAACCCTGTCTTCTTCCCATCTCTCGCTCCCATAAACCTGTATGAGCTCTTGCTGGGCACTCCAACAGCGTGGGGTTTGGGCAAGTGGTCCATTTAGCACTTGACACGCAGAGGCTTCTATATCTCCCAGGGCTCCTGGAAGCTCAGTAAGGTAGTCATTGCAAGACCCATCCTGGCACCCTCTGGGTTACTGACCCCATGCAGATAATCTAGCTCAGGTGCTGTTCACACTCCCTCCTTCTGGAGTGTGTGAGCTGAGCCTATAGTGTCTCCCTATTGTTCAGAATTCTTCCTCTGAGTCTTGTCTCCTGAGCATTTGGAGGGTGCCAAGAGTAGAGATCCTTTCCCTCACAGCTCAGCTCAGCCAGAGGGGCACCAGGGCAGAAAGAATAGGGGAGACATTATAACGTAATAGGAACAGCCTGGGTTTAAAAATTCAGACAAACTGAAATGTGGATCCCAACTCTTCTATCAACTCGCTGTATGGCTTTGGGCAAAAAAATTTAACCTCTTTAAGCCTTGGGATTCTCATCTGTAAAATGGGAATGAAAACCTACCTTCTGTAGTTATTGTGAGGATTAATAGTATATATATAATATATACTAATAGTATAATAGTATATATATAATATATACTATATAATAGTATATATATAATATATATACTCTATAATAATAGCATATATAATATACAATAATAATAATTAATAAAATCTACATACAACAGAGTGCCTGTGGTTAATACTGTATTGTGCACCCAGACGTTTGTTAAGATGGTAGATCTCATGTTAAGTTCTTATAGCAACAACAACAAAAACAAAAAACAGCAACAACAAAGGGACACAAGGAAGCGTTTGGAGGTGATGGAGATGTCTATTACCTTGATTGAGGATTGTTTCGCAGGTGCTCGCACATGTACAAACTCATCAAATCGTATACGTTAAATATGTGCAGTTTTTGTGTATCAATTGCACCTCAGTGAAAGTGTCTAAAAAGTATAATAATACCTATAAAATAAGTGGCAGAGGGTAGAACTCTTTCCGCAAGTCACCCTCACCCCTGTTCACTTCTCACTTGCTTGCTAGGGTTGAAATCCCTTTTCTTGGAGCCAAAACTCTGTTTATGCTCGGATGAAGTACAGACAGGAGTACAAAGTCTTCCTGAGTAGAGGACAGGGGGTGAGAGAAGTGTCCAGAAAAGCGTCGGTCACACGGAGGGATCAATGTCAGGCCAGGGACCCAGGTCTTACTCATCACTGCGGCTTCAGCATGAACACAGATCGTGCAGCAGAGCCCGTGGTCGCTGAGTGCGGAATGAACAGGCGTTAGGAGCGGGGTAGTGGCAGAGACCTGAGTCGGTGACCGAGAGGAAAGAGGCTTTGTAAGTTGGGGTTCTGCACAGGGGAGAAGATAGTGTTGGACACAACGGTCACCAAGACTGAACGGAGGCAGAATTGACAAGACTAAAAAGAGAAGGCGGGGCGGGGGAAGGGGAATTAGGTTCTGTGAGATGTCTTGTTTTATGAAAATAACAAGAGAATTTTAGCAGGATTTCTAAGAGGCTCTTTCCGTGTCGTCTCTGATTGGCATGCGCTTTCTCAGGGATGGTCTCCGAAGGCGGCACACGGGTGTGCTGTGCTGGCTGCAACCGGACCTCCCAAGCTCTGTCCCCTGTCAGCTCTCCCCACTCTCGCCAGACTCTGGGCTCACCTGCCGTCTTGCAGATCCCTGGGATCAGTGCGATCAAGTCCCTTGCCTGTGGTGCACAGCTGGGAAATAACTGGAACAGGACCTAGGCACAAACCCGCCTCTGCCACACCCCGCTGCCTTTTGGTTCAACCCCAAACCTCGGGGCTAAGCCTGACCAGTTCAGAAAGTCATCCTTGCGACTCCTCTTATGGCTCTTTGATGCTCACAATTTGCTTGTCCCCGAAGACCTGGGATCTATTTTTGGCTGGCCTTATGTCAATCTTAAATCCAAATCTGCTGCTCTCCCTGGCATCGGCCGTCTGGGTTAATGTCTTCTTTTTCCACCTGGTCACCCGGGCTGCAAGCCTTGTCACTGTGTTAACTCCCTTCTTTTTCTCGCCCTGCGCGGCCAGCCAGTGCCCCAGGCCCACTGCTTCTGCCACTGCAATGTGTCTGCCGGCAAGCAGTGTCATGGAGTGACTTTGGAGTCCCTAGACTGGAGATTCAATCTCCTTTCCACCACTGGCTATTCTGGTCTTGTGAATCATTTAACGCAGTTCATTTTCCACATAGTTAAAATGGAGAAATAATACTTCTGGCAGGATTGTTGTGCATCTCCCTCCTCTCCCCTTTCCAGGCTCTCCCTCCCATCCACTCCCACCATCATCCAGTCCTACCTGGGTTGCTGTAACAGCCC